TGACCGTTGGTATATGAGATAAACAGGCCGCCAGAGCAATTAGTAGACGGGCCGTATTTGACCGAGAGCGAGTCTTACATACGAGTCCGAGAATTCTAGATAAGCATATCGAGAGAGAGTCAGTAACCTAGCTGGAGGTAGCTGAGATACCTCATTAACGAACAGATGACCCTAGTAAGAGAACTAGGAGTCAGTGATGAATAAACCGTAAAAACACCTGGAAAGATTAGTTATGAACCTGTGAATGATAAACTAGCTACTTACTGAGTAATCTAATTACTCATCAGAATTATTATAACTTTTCTTTCCAGATGTAGATGCTGCAGGTCAGCCGAGGACGAGACCAGCGGGCTAGAGACTACTGGGAATCCATGTCTGGGTCTGTTCTGTAATTATGTTTCCGTTGTCAAGAATTTACCTTAGTCGTTTTAAGTTTTTTGTAAAGTACTGTTTTTCTTTTATAGAAATACTTTACTGGATGTTTTTAGAAATATTTTTAATTTTATGATTGGGTATCAGAGTCTCTTAAAATTGTCGATAGTAACTCCTGTTAATCGCGTTGGCGATGAGCGGGTGTTACACAATAGTACAAAAATATTCATCCATAATTGAAAAGAATTCCTTACAACCTGTCATATGATTGTTGCATCCAGAGTCTACGACCCACACACCTTGATCTGCAACCTTCATAGTATGGGATGACATTAACAATGTTTCTTCTTCTCTTTTCTCCATAAAGTTGGATGGATTTCTTTTCTTCTTTTGGAGCCTAATATAATATTCATTCTTGTAATGTCCAAGGCGTTCACATTTGTAGCATTCCATCTTAGACTTGTCAAAATGTATCTTGCCTTTGTTGTCATAATCGTCTCTGACTAGATCTGCTGACTTGCCAACATCTCCACTTTTTCTTGACTGCCTCTTCCACGACCTCCGCCTCTTCTTTGCCATCTACCTCTGGAGCTTGAAGTTTCACCTGGTGTGGATATCTTTAAGGCTGTCATCTTCTCTATTGCACTTGTGCGATTAAGCTTTTGCTCATGCACGAGCAAGGAACTTTGAAGTTCATCTATTTGCATCACTTCGACATTGTTTGCTTCTTCAATAGAACATACAATGTAATCGAACTTTGGAGTTAGAGATCGCAAAATCTTTTCTACAACCGCAACACCCATGATTGAATTACCATGCATCCTCATTTTACTTGCAAGACTCATAACCTTGCCAATATAATCATCCACCGTTTCTCCCTTTTGCATTTGGAGAATTTCAAAGTCTCTTCTAACTACTTGAAGTTGAGCACGCTTTACTCTCGTTGAGCCTCGATATTGCTAGGTTATGGAGTCTTCTGCTTATTTATAGCTTAGTCAACGGTTATACATAGTAAAGCTATATTTGGTAAATGACATATAAAGTAAATTGTCATAAATAGTAAATAGCATGTATAGTAAAAAGCTATATATATGTTAGATAGTTATATATAGTAGATGATTATATTTGGTAAAACTATACAAGCTAAACCATATATATATATCTAAAGTTTGAAAATGTACTTTCTTTATTTTCTATATTCTCTTATACATACTTGGAGTCATGAATACAAATCTTTTAGCCAATATTCTCCTTGCATGTTCTCTATCATGTTCTATGTATTCATTTAGATCGAGTGTGTGCGTTGTTGTGCGATCCTAATAGATACTTCCTCCTCATTGAATCCCAAATTTTCTTGGATGTCTTCTTCTAAAACATCGTTTCCAAGATAGTCTGATCAATGGACTGAAATAAGTAGTTCTTGACCTTCAGGTCCTTCAACTTCGATGCTGCCAACTGTTGCTGTTGAACAGCTAGAGTACCTCGCCTTCACTTGGCTCTACATAACCCATCTCCACCATATCAAAAAACTCCGATCTGAGAAAATTTTCCATCAACATCGCCCAATGATCATAGTGACCATCGAATTTCGAGATGGCGGGCTTAATGTAGTTATCAACTTGTCTTTCTGGTGCCATTCTTGCTGCAAGATCGCTATGATACTGGTTGTTGGTGACAGGAGAGAAATTTGGTAGAATTCTTTGAGAGAAGAGAACTTTGTATAACTATGAAGGAATGCTTAATTGATTTTCTACATCTTCCACCAATGCCAACATACATATGTGTATATGTATATGATATGAACCAAGAGACATCAATCATACAATATGCTTCAATGAAGATGTGAAGAAAAGGTTGTCAAAATTATCAAAAGATGTTTCAATTCATGCTACATTGAAGAAGAATAAAGTTTGATTGTTGTAAATTTTGAGTGGGTTATAATTTAGAGTTATTGTATTTTAAGACTTTTCATTTAATTTCGGTTACATTTACATAATGGCTAATTATGGCCATAAAGTGTGAATGTTACAACTTTTGGAATGCCTTTAATAGTTTCATTTTGAGACTATATAAAGCCATTAATAGTTTCATTTTGAGACTATATAAAGCCATGTATGTTGTATTTGGAAGGTAGACTTGGAAAATATAGTAAAAGAAGCATTTGTGCTTTTCTTTAGCAATGGCTAAGTTTCTTTGCAACTCTATGTAGTTTAGGTTGCATGTAGAATCATTCAAGCTCGACATGATCAATCTTGCTTGTGGAGTGATTCGAATCTCAATCAAGTGTTCTTGCGTTGAGATATTTGATCAACAAGAATCATTCAAGCTAGACATGATCGATCTTGCTTGTGGAGTGATTCGAATCTCAAACAATGTTCTTGTCTTGAGATATTCGATCAACAAGGTAATCCGAATCTTATTCCTCTTGTATTGATTCCTTATCTTATCATTTGGTATCAGAGCTTCAGGCTCAAGATCGGATATATGTTTCCTTTGCGTTTCTTCTCAATTTGATTTTTATTTATTTTCATCTTTTTAGTTTTTAATCGACCCAGAGTTCAAAATTCAATCTTTGCTCTATTTACAATTTTGAGAGGTGAGAATGAGAGCTTCATTTGTGTAAACGTGTGTAAAAAGAGTGTATACTCGTGAGAGAGTGTTGTGAGGTCCTTCGTATTTCCATAACTTATTTTTTGCAGCAAAGTTTCACAAATAGATTCAAGGACGAATCCTCTTGAAGAAGTGGAGAATGATATGAACCAAGAGACATCAATCATACAATATGCTTCAATGAAGATGTGAAGAAAAGATTGTCAAAATTATCAAAAGATGTTTCAATTCATGCTACATTGAAGAAGAATAAAGTTTGATTGTTGTAAATTTTGAGTGGGTTATAATTTAGAGTTATTGTATTTTAAGACTTTTCATTTAATTTCGGTTACATTTACATAATGGCTAATTATGACCATAAAGTGTGAATGTTACCACTTTTGGAATGCCTTTAATAGTTTCATTTTGAGACTATATAAAGCCATGTATGTTGTATTTAGAAGGTAGACTTGGAAAATATAGTATAAGAAGCATTTGTGCTTTTCTTTAGCCAATGGCTAATTTTCTTTGCAATTCTATGTAATTTAGGTTGCATGTAGAATCATTCAAGCTCGACATGATCAATCTTGCTTGTGGAGTGATTCGAATCTCAAACAAGTGTTTGAGATATTTGATCAACAAGAATCATTCAAGCTAAACATGATCGATCTTGCTTGTGGAGTGATTCGAATCTCAATCAAGTGTTCTTGTCTTGAGATATTCGATCAACAAGGTAATCCGAATCTTATTCCCCTTGTATTGATGTCTCTTGGTTCATATCAGTATATATATAGGTAATTTGGGACATTCCCCAATACCATTCATTATCCAAAAGACTGCATCTAATTAATTATGAACTAAAGAACCTACCTGTATCTATTCAAACATGTCCTTATACATGTATCTATACAGGTATCTACAAGTGACTAGAAGAATGAAACTACCTGTACAGATGATTCTCTCGAAACTCTCCTTCTCCAATACCATTGGGATTGATTTTCTTTCAAGAGGCTACCACAACTACCTATACAGATGATTCTCTCGAAACTCTCCTTCTCCAGTAGCGTTGATTTTCTTTCAAGAGGCTACCACAAGCCTTAACTTTCTCCACTACCTTTGGATTTTATTGTTAGAGACTCCCACAAGCCCTAGCCTCTCCTTCTCCAATACCTTTGTGATTTTCTTCAAGAGGCTACCACAAGCCTTAACTTTCTCCAATCCTTTTGGATTTTATTTTAAGAAACTTGCACAAGCCCTAGCCTTTTTCGAGTCAGAACAAGAAAGATTTTGTGGATATAAAGAATGTTGGAATACTTCCAAAAGTCTTGCCTAAGGTTTCTACAAAGGAGAGTTCTTGCTCTCCTATTTATTATTTTGTTTTAATTCTTAATAAAATAAAAACGATTTACAATTCATTCCCTTCACATCACACATCATTCAATTATCTAACTCCAACCGTAAGATTTCAACAAAACCTATGTGAGCTCATGACATCAATTTCAACTTCAAACTTACAAAATTATTTAAACGTTAAGTTATTAAGTATTTAATAAATTTCTAATCTTTGAGGTAAGTCTGCTTAGAGGACAATTTTGCATATTATGAGTATACAAGATCTCAACAAAATCTAATGGTGGATGGAAGCAGACTTGGGAGCAAGGACCATAAATTAACCTATCTTTAATTTAGTATATTGTGAGTGCTTCTTTTTTAATCTATTTTTTATTAATTCACAATTTTCTGAACTTCAATAATAATAATAATAATAATAATAATAATAATAATAATAATCCTCACAGCCTTGTTTGGCTGCGGGTTTTCAATGCCTGGGCTTCGGATTGTCTTGTCCCTGTCCTGAAATAGGCTTTCCCAAACCCCATTTTCTCGAATTTTTCCTTAAAGCCACGCAAGGAATAATCATACTAATAATAATACTTTAAAATTAAAAAAAAAAAGAAAAAGAAAAAAAAGATCATACTCGTGGAAGGTTCCAGAAACCCTAGTAAACCCTTTATAAACTTGCGGTTCCTCCGTAGATCTTGACTTCTACTTGCAAGCCTCCATTTCCATTTTCCTACATTGTTGTTCTTCGATCGGTTCAGTTAATCGTCTCTTACAATGGCGGATACTGAAACGTTTGCATTCCAGGCCGAGATTAATCAGCTCCTCAGTCTGATTATCAACACCTTTTACAGCAACAAGGAGATCTTTCTTCGTGAACTTATCAGCAATTCTTCCGACGTAAATCTCATTATCTTTTCTTTTCTTTCGTTTTAATTTTGATATTCATTCTTTTTACTGTTCTTAAGGAGATTTTGCGTGTATAGTATGAAATTTGATTCGTATTCTGGATTTCCTTGGTTTCATTTCGATTATAGACACGCTCGTCGGATTTTTACTGATGTGCCTTTTTTAATTGAACGATTGTTTCTTTCGATTTTTCCTGCATCATTGAAATCTCACTATTTCTAATTTTCCTGGCTACATAACGAATTATATTTGAAGCCTTGTTGGGTAGTTGAATGACTTCTTTCATTTTTACATAACGAAAGCACGTATTCTTGTGTAAAGGGTGCTGAATGATTTTACAGAGTCATGTATTATGTAGGATAATGAAGACAGAAATTTCCCCAATTATTATTGTTGTAATTTACGATTTGGAATTTTATTTCAGGCTCTTGATAAGATCCGATTTGAGAGCTTGACTGACAAGAGTAAGCTAGATGCTCAGCCTGAGCTCTTTATCCACATCATTCCTGATAAGGCAAACAATACATTGACGATTATTGACAGCGGTATTGGGATGACCAAGGCTGGTGAGTGATTGCATTCTACAGCTTATATTAGGAGTTGTCATTTTAATTTTTCATATGATATAAACTCATTTCTGGAGCATGTCTATGTTATTAGATTTGGTGAACAATCTTGGTACCATTGCAAGATCTGGGACCAAGGAATTCATGGAAGCCATTGCAGCTGGTGCTGATGTGAGCATGATTGGACAGTTTGGAGTTGGTTTCTACTCTGCCTACCTAGTGGCTGAAAAGGTCATTGTTACCACTAAACACAATGATGATGAGCAGTACGTATGGGAGTCCCAAGCTGGGGGTTCGTTCACAGTCACCAGGGACACATCTGGTGAGAATCTTGGCCGAGGTACTAAGATTACCCTGCACCTCAAGGAAGACCAGCTTGAATATCTTGAGGAGCGTCGTCTCAAGGACTTGATCAAGAAGCATTCTGAGTTTATTAGCTACCCAATTTCTCTCTGGGTGGAGAAGACCACCGAGAAGGAAATCTCTGATGATGAGGATGAGGATGAGAAGAAGGACGAGGAAGGCAAGGTTGAGGAAGTTGATGAGGAGAAGGAGAAGGAAGAAAAGAAGAAGAAGAAGATCAAGGAAGTTTCTCACGAGTGGTCCTTGGTGAACAAACAGAAGCCTATCTGGATGAGGAAGCCAGAAGAGATTACAAAGGAAGAGTATGCTGCTTTCTACAAGAGCCTTACCAATGACTGGGAGGAGCACCTTGCTGTTAAGCACTTCTCCGTCGAAGGTCAATTGGAATTCAAGGCCATCCTCTTTGTTCCTAAGAGGGCTCCTTTTGATCTATTTGACACAAAGAAGAAGCCGAATAACATTAAGTTGTATGTTCGCCGTGTCTTCATCATGGACAACTGCGAGGAATTGATTCCTGAATACCTTGGCTTCGTTAAGGGAATTGTTGATTCTGAGGATCTTCCTCTTAACATTTCTAGAGAAATGTTGCAACAGAACAAGATCTTGAAGGTCATCCGCAAGAACTTGGTGAAGAAGTGCCTTGAGCTGTTCTTTGAGATTGCTGAGAACAAAGAAGACTACAACAAGTTCTACGAGGCCTTCTCCAAGAACTTGAAGCTGGGTATCCATGAAGATTCCCAGAACAGGCCTAAGATTGCTGAACTTCTCCGTTTCCACTCGACCAAGAGTGGTGATGAGTTGACCAGCCTGAAGGATTATGTGACCAGAATGAAGGAGGGCCAGGAGGACATCTTCTACATCACTGGTGAAAGCAAGAAGGCTGTGGAGAACTCTCCTTTCCTCGAAAAGCTCAAGAAGAAGGGTTACGAAGTTCTGTTCATGGTTGATGCTATTGACGAGTATGCAGTTGGTCAGCTGAAGGAATTTGAAGGCAAAAAGCTTGTATCAGCAACCAAGGAAGGTCTGAAACTGGATGAGAGCGAAGATGAAAAGAAGAAGAAGGAAGCTTTGAAGGAGAAGTTTGAGGGGCTTTGCAAGGTGATAAAGGATGTTTTGGGCGACAGAGTTGAGAAGGTGGTTGTCTCTGACCGTGTCGTGGATTCTCCCTGCTGTTTGGTAACTGGTGAATATGGATGGACAGCCAACATGGAAAGAATCATGAAGGCTCAAGCACTGAAGGACAACAGCATGGCTGGTTACATGTCTAGCAAGAAGACAATGGAAATCAACCCCGAGAACCCCATCATGGAAGAACTGAGGAAGAGGGCGGATGTTGACAAGAACGACAAATCCATCAAGGACCTCGTTCTCCTCCTCTTCGAGACTTCCCTCCTCACCTCCGGCTTCAGCCTGGACGACCCAAACACCTTCGGAAACAGAATCCACAGGATGTTGAAGCTTGGATTGAGCATCGATGAGGAAGCTGGAGAAGCCGATGCTGACATGCCTCCTCTTGAGGATGCCGATGCCGATGCCGATGCAGAGGGCAGCAAGATGGAGGAAGTGGATTAATTTTGATGTCTCTAGCGGTGAAGCCGGTAACATCTTTTCAAGGTTTTTTTTTTTCTTTTTCTTTTGCCCTTCCCGTATGTTATGTTTTCAGTTAGTAGTTTATTACAATATATATATTTTGGCTGCCGTTTAGGTTAGTGTCTGCGCTGCGCTATCTGATGCCTTTTGGTTGTACTGATTTAGGTTGCGGACTCGCGTTGTCTCATTTTGTCATGATTTGATTTTTGACGCAACTCCTCAAGTAATACCATATTTCACCCAAAATGTCTTCATCTTTCATTTCATATCTTCCTTAGCTTGCTTGCTTAACTTTGTGCCCTTGAATTTTAGAATGTATATTTGAGCACAACTAAATTCATCCTAAGTTGAAGTGAAACACTATTCCTCATAGATCCCAAGTCAAGTTTATTCTTCTCTAATATTATTAAACAATATAGGATTGGAAACGCAAATTTCAATGCCTGAGGGGATTTCGAATGGGTATGTGTGTTATCTCTAGAATCCTCCTTCTCACTATTAAATATATTCATAAAGAAGTCTTAACTCATTGAGATACTTCTAGATATTAGTACTGTATTGAGTTGGAGGCTGATCTGATGAATAGTCCACTCGCGCGTACATGAATCCTTTAGATGGGCTTCTTACCTTTCTTCGTGTATGAGTTCATTCTTGGAGAATGATTTATCATCATATAACGTACAAACCAAATTAAAAATAATTGATGTGACATGTAATTTGAAGGCATTAGTTAAACCTAAAATGTTGGTTTAAGTTGGTGTCTTCTTGTCGAATTTGATTTTATTTACAAAGTTTCATGACATTGACATATGGTCTAAAATATTGAACGAAATATAAGAAGGCAGTGTCGTCTGAATGGGGTTGGAATTGTGTAGAACACCATGTATCACAGTTGAAGTTGATAACTTGGTTTAAAATAAAATATTGCAAGAGGTTAAAAGCCATTAAGCTATAAACCAAAAGGTGTAACCTATGAAGCTATAAACTCCAAACCCAGGTTTCCCACGCCCGAAAAAGGAGTTTAGGCAATCAAATTCAGTATAAGCCCCATATTTTGAGCACATACGAGTTTAGTGTAGGTGTTCGTAGATACTACCGCCCCCCTCCCGAAGGCTATCATTGCAGGCTCATAAAGCCGACAATAACCCAACTACTCCCAAAAATACACCCCAATTTTCAGGCCCAAGTGCATAATACTCACGCACCCGCTGCCCGCCCGTCGGTGAACTCTTTTCTCTTCTCACCTTCCGCTCGCTCTTTCTTCCGATTTCCCCCACCTATTCTCGTTGGACTCTCTCTCCCAATTCAATTTGATAATCTTACGGTCTTTCACATTTACAACCATTCTCTTCAACTACCCTTGCGGCATCATGTTCAAAAAGTGAGCTCTCTCCCATTTCTAATATTCCTCCTTATTCGGCTATGGTTTCATGTTTTTGTTCAATGATCCTGGAACAATACTTCTGGGTTTTGTTTATTGGGGTTTAAAATTACGAGGGAACGGTTGGATTTCTTCATTTCTTATCTTCTTTTCTTGTTACTGCTCTCTCGATTCTGCTTCAATGCTTTCTTCTTTCTCGTTTCAATGATTCTCCTCCTCTTTTTTTACTTCTGTTTCCTATTTTATTGTGTTTTTTTGGCAGCGGTGGATGAACTGTTGTGTCTGAATTTCAACATTTTGGAAATATTGACACATGCGATTTATGAATTTAAACTCTCTTAGTTCAATTTTTGGAGTGGTGTTGTTTGTATAATAATCCTTCAAATTTGTGCTTTGTTTTTTGTGTTTCTGTTTCATTTTAGGTTTTGTACGAACAAGTGTCTGCTCAGAATCAAGTGAAGGCATCGGTACAACGGAGAATTCGACAAAGTATAGCAGAAGAAGTGAGTATTAGCTTAGGGATTTGAATCTCATAATCATATTAACGAGATTGAAATTGATGCCATCATCTATTTGATGTTTTCTTATTGCAGTATCCAGGACTAGAACCAGTTTTGGATGATTTGCTTCCTAACAAAGCTCCTCTGATTGTAACTAAGTGGTTAGAAATCTGCTGGCCTCTATTTATTTGTTCTGTTTATGTTAATGAACATATGAGGCTCATATTGGACGTTTTTGGAATACTCTTATAGTCAGAGCCATCTCAATCTGGTTGTTGTGAACAATGTGCCACTCTTTTTTAATATCCGTGACGGCCCCTACATGCCTACCCTAAGCTTGCTTCACCAATGTAATGTTTTCTTTCTCTCAGGGCTACATTTTATCTTTTTAGTAACATCTATTTAATATTCTCTTTCCTTATATATAAGGAAATTTGGATCAACTAAGAGATCAGGCTAGAATTAGATTACCTCTTAAATGAAAGATCTAGAAGCAAGATTTGAAACACATTGGTTGTGTGGTCCAATGTGTTTTTTTATGGCTGTCTGTCAAATGATCGTTTTGTAATTATCAACATGGTGTTATTTTTTTGGATTGAGGTTTAATTTCGTAGCTTATCTGGTTGAGGACTCGTATTGTGAGCTTGTTTTTTGTATGCCCTTGTATATACTTGGCTCTTCTTGATGAAAGCTCGGTTTCTTTAAACAAGTGGTTTATTGCCAACAAATGCAGCCTGGTAATCAAAGATCCTAATAGGGTGTAATTTGTAGACTCTTTCAAAGAATACTCTAGCAACGAACTTGGAACTGAAGGTTGTGGAAAACCTCCTAAAGGTCCCCAGTCTCTACCTCGGTGGTTGGTTTCATTACCCACCGTGATACGAACCACGACCAAGGAATTGCCATACCTCAAGGTCCAGTTACAAGGACGAGAGCCAAGAAGCTATAACAAACTTTGTACACTTGTATTCGGGTAGATTCCATATCACACCAGAGCAAACATTTGGTATTTAAACAATTCCTCTGGAGAACAACCTCCTCGAAGGGGTGTCCAGCCTCCGAAAGTAATTTTATGTATCTAACATTTTAATTACAGAGCTCTTGACAGCTATTGGGGTTTCCCTTTATTCTCTCAGATTGTTAAATGTTTAGTTAGGGACAGGTTCGGTACTGTTGAGAAGATTGATGGGATAGAAATATGCCCCTTGCTTTATCATTTATCCGATAAGAGACTACATTCACCAACCTCTACTTTTCCTTTCTCTGATGTGTCCTCACTTCCCTTAGGTTTTTATCATCCCCTTGTTGAATGCAAGTCTTTAGAGTTGGCTGGCCTTCTTTTTGTTATCTTAGATCAAATGGTCTGATAAGGCAATCTTAATCTTCAGTCCAACGATCCAAGCTTTTGTTGAAGCAAAAACCATTGAATCAAAGAAATTATTACCTCCTTATACGAAATTTGGATCAACCAAAAGATAAGGTTAGAACTAGATTACCTCTTACGATCAAAGATCTAGAAGTTGGAACCGTGTTCTAAATTGAGTCACTTCACAATCGAACTTGATCAAGGTTTGATTGAATGGCTCGGATGCAATCTTTTATCAGAATTGCTTGAAAGAAATGACAAAGATGATGCTCAAATTTCCAAGGGGGAAAGTCACAACTTGAGCTCAATTTCATTAATAAAAAATTTGCCTTGTACGTACTAATTTGTGGGTATTTATAGTTTCTCTACAAAAAAAAAACTTGTAACTCTTCAAATGCCCACTAAAAAAAGTTAGTAACCATGATTGGTATGTTACTCCTCACTACCCTTAAAATGTCCACTAAAAAAAGTGGAGGTTAAACCAAGCCTATCCAATTTTGTAGATGAAGAATGAATGTTGGTTGAATCTTCTTGGCCTTGAATTGTGTAATAGGTCCAGTTGGAACATTTGGAACACCATGATCCTTATCGTGGTCTATTCGAGGAGAAGGGATATTTGGATTTGGAATCCTAATCCATTCGAGGGGGCTTCTCTTGTTGATCTCTCTTCCATACCCTCTGCTCTCCTCCTTGTTAGTGGCTTCAGTTTGGTTCTTTTTGGGAGGTTAAAATCCTTGAGTGAAGTTCTTTGGTCGGCAAGCTTTGCATGGGAGAGCGAATACCAGGATCGTTTACGACAACATTCTCCTTTTGTCTTGTGCTCGCAATAGTATGTTCCTTTCCGGTGGTAGGCGAAGGATCTAAGACATCTCTTGTGGACTGTTTGCTCACTTATTCTATTTGAAGTCAGTGCTTTAGCATGTTCGGGGTTGTTGTGGTGCGTAACAAAGAGCAATGTGAGTTCGGTTCAAGAGGAATAGTAGAACTTTTGGAGGGGTCGAGAGATCTTTGTAGGAGCTATTTGTGTTACTACATTCGTTCCAGAGTATGATATGTATCCATCCATTTGGTCTGCAGATCCTAATGTCATGAAGAAATTGCAAGTAGACAGAGGTGCTATAAAGTTCGTCCTTGCTGGAGCTAACATAATGTGTCCTGGTCTTGCATCCCTTGGGGGTGCGTTGGATGGTGCAGTCGAATCCGACACACCTGCGGTAAACTTTTTTTGCAATCTTATCCACCGACTCGAGTTCTTCATTGATGATACGGTTATGGTAAGGAACATGCTCTTGCCATTGGCTTCACTAAGATGTCAGCAAAGGAAATGTGAGACCCTAAATGCATTCGATAAAGCCACAGTTTTATATATGCTTTAAGCTCAAGAAGATGACTGGTGTGTAATTTACAGAAAGGCGATAAACAAAGGGATCGGTGTGGACAATATGCATTACCTTAACGACGGTCTTTGGAAGGTACGTCATAGTTCACTCCCACGTTTCTTCGTCTCAAATGAAAATATCTTATTTCGACTGCAGATGGAACAATTGTGATTCGAGGATTTGTTCGTTCTTTGCACGTTTTTGAGTTACTTTGTGTGGACAGACATCAACAATTTCATGTCTCCATATTTATATGCTTCTTGAGGAACCAATTTCAGAGTTGTAGTTAGTATCCTTTTGCAGTTTGTTGTGAATGTTCTATCCATAAGCCCTATTTCTTGGTGTTTTATTGATGTTTTCCTCCCATTTTCAAGAGGTCCCTTTTCCATGGGGAATGAGATTTAATATGTATTTTAATTGGCCGAACATAGCTCGAATGTCAAGATACACGACCAAGTTTGATTAGTTTGATTAATAAAAATATTTCGAACAAACTTCAGAATTTTCAAATTTTCAATAATACCACAAGGTAGGTGTTGGGAGAGAACATGTCGGAAATGCCAACCCATATGTCTACTGGACCCGGACATCGTTACGACTAGAAAAGAGGAAAAGCTTATGAATCCCCTACCTCATAACTCAACCAATTATTTCATAAAAATCGAAATTGGAATTAAAATCCATAAAAATCGAAGATAATTATGGTTGATGTTGCATGAGAAAGTTCACATAAATTAATAATAAATCCAATTATTTCGAATAATTTTATTATATAATTAATTGGTTTATTTTTATTAATAATTTAATTAGCATATCATAGTTTTTATGTTTTGTTTATTTAAGTATCAATATTAATAATTATGTTCCATTATATTAGTTTAGTTGCTATTAAATTAATATAAATTTGTTAATTATGCAACAAAAATTTGTGGACCATGGGCTTAATCATTTTGGGCCTGGATCCAGCCCATTCTAATCACACAGGGCGATCCAGCACTATAAAACGGGTTTAAAAACCCTGATTTCCACCTTCGTCATCCTTCGGGCAGCTGCACCAAGCGTCTCGCAAACTCGGCTAGCTGCAATGGTACCTTCTAAATTTCTACCCATTCACTGCCTCCTTTGTTTAAGTTTCTTCCTTCGAGGCCTGATTTTTGTGTTTCTCTTTCCTTGCGGTGGCTAGGGTATTGATCTCGTAGCGGGAGGTAAGAGCAAGAAGACCAAGAGGACCGCGCCCAAATCTGATGATATCTACCTCAAGTTACTCGTCAAGGTACTTCCTAAGCGTGATTTCCCATTCATAGCCACTTTCGTTTCATCTACCGGTGCTTAAAAATATAATATGCTTCATTGTTGAAGGGTTTGGTTTATTTTGGTTCTTGATTGCGGAGCTTGTGTAAATATAGTATTGTGTTGAAATGTCTCTGAAGGTGGTCTAATGCCGCTCCCACTGAAAGTCAATTGAAATGTCCCTCGGTTGGTTTTTTTCGGGTTCTTATATAAGAGTCATTTTTTTCCCCTTATTTGATTCTCCTTCCACGTTTTGTTTTGCTCTATATTTCTTGTGCTTGTCTAATCTGTTTGTGGATGCCTAATTTTGTTTTTCGAATGAATTGGTTCGATGCTGGTCTTTCTGCTTTGATGATATCTGTGAATCCCAGCTCATGATGAGACCTTTCGTAGGTCGGGGAATAGTCTTTACCCACAATATCTGAGCCTCAAGTCCAGTTACATTGTCTTTATTTTCATTTTAACTATTATCAGTAACATGTTTTCGCTGTTGAAGTTAGTACGTACACAAATGTTAATGCCTTCTGTAACTGCGTTTGCTTAGCTGTTCTTATATTGAATGCATTGAATGCCATTCTACCTATATTATTTCCCTTCTTAGGCACTAAATGTAATTATATATTAATAACAATTTGCCATACTTTTAATCTTTTGTTTTGTTTCCTTCGGAAAGTTAAAAGGTTCCCAGTGATGATTAACTTGACCATGCTAATACTGATCACTTTGTGATTAATCTTTTCTTTAATAGTTCTGAGGGAACTGACTCCAAGGTTTAAGTTTTTGTGCTCATTTGCATTTGTTTCACTTGAGTGGGACGGGTGTACATTGTATCTTTGGTTCATGCTTTTGTTATTTTTTCCATACAAGTAGAAATATTTCTATGCAGATCGATCATTTTCTCCCTTCTGCAATGAAGCCCTTTTAAACTGTTCAATTTGTTGATTCTTTTTTAGATCATAAGGACTCTGAACATATGCCTTTAGAATGTAAAGTTTTGTACTTTTTGGTTTGACTTTCTCTAGGAGTCTTCTAATCATGTCTGTTTATGTGCAATTTTGTAATATCTAATGTTAGTTCTCTATGTAATCGGGAAAGAGAAGCTTATTGTGTGGGCATTTTCTTGAATAGAGTCGTTCTGTTTGCCTTCAAAAACACATGTTTCACCTAACTTGTATTGACTAATGAAGTGATTTCTTGCTTTTCTTTTCAGCTCTACCGCTTCCTTGTTCGTCGTACTGGAAGCAATTTCAATGCTGTGATTCTCAAGCGATTGTTCATGAGCAGGGTCAACAAGCCTCCACTTTCTCTCTCTAGGCTTATCCAGTTCATGAAAGGGAAGGTTAGTTTCATGTAATATTGTAAGTTCATTTTGGTTGTTTGTAACTGATTGTGCATGCTGGGACGTCTAAAACCTCTTATATTTGTTGGTAATGTAATAGGAAAGCAAAATTGCCGTTGTTGTTGGGACTATTACTGATGATATTCGCGTCTATGAAGTTCCAGCATTGAAAGTTGCTGCTCTGAGATTTACAGAGACAGCAAGGGCAAGGATTGAGAAGGCTGGTGGGGAGTGTTTGACATTTGATCAGCTTGCTTTGAGGGCTCCTCTGGGTCAGAACACGGTATGAATGTTTTCATGTTCCAAGTTATTTTTAGGCCACAACTTTCACATTCTTGATGAATGTGGGGAAAAATTAGAGTTCCAGGCTATGCTTTAGAGATGTATATAGGGATTTGAATAAATCTGTTGGCTCCATTTTTATTATTTTTGGGTTCATCTGCAGGTTCTCCTTAGAGGTTCTAAGAACTCCAGAGAGGCCGTGAAGCATTTTGGTCCAGCACCAGGTGTGCCCCACAGCCACTCCAAGCCTTATGTGAGGTCCAAGGGAAGGAAGTTTGAGAGGGCAAGAGGAAAGAGAAACAGCAGGGGATACAGGGTTTGATTCCATCATATTCTCCAAGCTAATTCAATCGTTGTGTGTTTTTCTGAACTCAATATCGAAATTTTGCTAGATTTTAGTTACTTCAGTTGACTGTTTTGTCATAATATTGTTGATTAGGAATTGATTCAATGGCATTCAGCCAGACTTTATTGAGTTCCTTTGGCTAGACATTGTGTGATGTCCATTTGATTCGAGTTTCATTGAAATATGAGCAAGTTTTACCTTGATTTTCATTAAAATCATATTAACATCTCTAATAAAGTACCATTCTTCTTGAATCTATTTCATCTAACCAAATAATATTACACCCTATAGTTGACGCACCCTTTTCAAGTTGCAACTTGGTAACTTCTGTTCGAGTGACTCAACAAGATTTACATCCTCTATTTTCGTCTACGAGCGTTTTTTTTTATTTTTTCAGTACTTGTCATTATGTTATTTGCATATGTGTAATGATTATAATTATGGTTATCAACCCTACTGCGTAACAGTAAAAAAAATTGTGGAAGAATTGTATTCCAATGCGATTTGTTAAATAAAAAAACAACGATACATGCACAAAAAATACATAACAATCACCAATGTTTGATGGTGAAATAGACATGTCTAAATACAAATTAAACCTATGATCCAAGAGAATGATAATGGAAAAAAGGGAGAATATGTTGGTATAACCACTTTTCTCCAAGGAAGAACAACTCCTAATCTCAACCATCCATGAAAACCAACAAACACCCAACATATTTTGTCCCACCCTTTATTCCATTCAAGGCGATAAGGTTTCGTACAGTACACGTATTCTTCGTACAGTACACGTATTCTAAACGACCACCTACCAAACATCCATCTAAATCTTCATCAGACATTCAAATTACTTGTAAGAGTAAAGATCAGACGAGATGAATGGAAATAACTGGTCTAAAACCTGTATTTTCGATCCACATGTCGGACAAAAAGCAAACAAGCACCCTAATTAACTGAAAAACACACTGTGTTCTGTTCTGGTTTGTAGAAGCGACTAGAACTTTTTGATGAAGTCAAGGATGTGAGAGCTAACCTCTTCAGGCTTCTCCTGGGTCAGGAAATGCCCAACTCCTTCCATTACCACAACTTCTTGCAAATATGGCACATCTTTCTTGAAACCTCCTCCATTCACATACTCCTTAACCCCTGGTGTCGTATACACCATATCCACATCCCCAACTACAAACTTCACTGGCACTTTCACTTGCACCCCAGTCCATGGGGCTGTCAGCTCCCAGTTTCTACACCAAATTCCATATACAAATCAAACACCTAAGCTCTTAATCTAACTTTTACTGTAATGTACGAAATCATGTAGCATTTACGACATAAAATTGAAACCAAGAACTCAGCAGTTTGTGTAATTGGTGACTTACAAGTCCATTGATCTGTAATAGTTGAGTGGTCCAGTGAAGCCCTTGGACTCAAACTTGGAGGCAAAGTAAGAAAGATCTTCTTCTGAAAGCCAAGAGGGCAAGGGAGTTGAGGATCCAGGCCTGACTTGAAAGGCTTGTCCTTTAGGAAAAATGGGAGGGCCTGTTTTTCTTGTTGTCAAAATGCCTCTTACCACTTCTTTGGCACCCACCACCGCCATCTCCTCTTCAATCTCTCCTGGATTCTGAAACAAATACAATTTTCTTATGCAGATCCCTTCCCAAACAGAAAGCAAAAAAAAGGGATATGATCTCAAGAAAACTAGAGCGATCATGAGTTCATGAGTTTATAAACAAGGAATACATCATGAGTTTATAAACAAGGAATACATCTCCATTGGTACGAGGTCTTTTGGGGAAGCCCAAAGCAAAGCCATGGAAGCTAATGCTCAAAGTGGACAATATCATACCCTTGTGAGAGTCGTGATTCCTAACCTTCACAGTACCATAATCATCACGAGTACCTAGTACAATATCTTGTAGCACTCACTCATTATCAATTCTATCAAAAGAACTTACATACGAGTGTGTGAAGTGTTTTTGGTGCATTATAATTACCATCGCAAAAACACAGACAAATCCCAATCTTTATGAACAAACAGCAAGCAAGAATTCTACACATACAAAAAGAAATCAACCTGGAATCTGCAAATGTAATAATCATCTCCAAAAAACTTCCTCATGCTCTCAACAGGCTTTATCTTGGGATGCCTAGGCCTAAACGGCACACTCAGACACACAAAAGCCTTAACAATGTCAGGTCGGAATAAACACAAACACCATACGATCATTGCGCCCCAGTCATGCGCCACAACAAAAACCTCCTTAACTCCAAGAATCTCAACAAGAGCAACAAGATCCCCAACAATATGCATAATAGAGTAGCTAGAAAGCGAATCAGGAGCATCAGAATCGCCATACCCACGAAGGTCCGGCGCCACAGCGCGATACCCCTGTGAGCTCAACGCCAAAATCTGATGGCGCCATGAATACCAAAGCTCTGGGAAGCCATGGATGAGAAGCACAATTGGGCCTTCGCCCTTCTCGGCTATGTGCATGTTTATGCCATTGACGCTCACGGTTCTGTGCTGGATCGAGTCCATGGCGATGGGTTGAAATTGTTCTAGATTTTTTGACTCTCTGCTTTGGATTGTTCGTCTTTGATGGAGCGGAAGGTGAATTGAATGAGGACGCAGAGATCGAACGTAGCAAACAGTGCGAATTTAGGTGAGGAGATGAAGGCCAATAAATGGGGTTCTCGAGACTTGGGATCTTTAAAAGCGGACCAAACTTCCATAAAATAAAATAAAATAAACACTATTTTATTTTAAATAAAAGGCTAAATTAATTATTATCTTAAATTTTTAAAAAGAATTCTCTAGGTTTATAGACATTATGTTAGATTATTAAAAAAATCAAAATTATTAAAAATAAATTTTTAATTACCAAACTTGTTAGGTAAAATTGAGTATTCATTAATTTTTCTAAAAATGACTATCAACTCCCTACTAACTTTTGAAAATAGATTTCTAATTTATTTTTATTTTGTCTAACTAAAATTTTAAATCCCATACGTATCTTTATATTCTTTTAAATATAAAATAATAATAATAATAATAAATTTATATTCTCCGCTAAATTTAATCACTTTATTATATAGAGAATGCCTATATTTATAGCTAGTACAATGCTGTTTCCCCATGTTGAATTTAAGTTCGATGTCGAGTTCTTTCGCTAGTTGACTCAGTAACTTGCCAACCTGTTTCAACCTCTCTTCTCCGCCGTTCTCCGCCACCACCGCCGTCGATTTCATGACGATCTTCTCTCTCTGACGATCTGAGAGAAGGTGGATTAGATTCATATAATGACCTCCCTTCCTGATATCGAAATCCACAATGTGGATCCTCTTCCTTTAACGCCACATAAGCACGAGGTCGTGTCACATAGTCTGTTGAGTCCTCCTTTTGTTCTACCATTTCTTCAACATATGCCAAGAGAAGCAGCGGTTCAGAGCAAAATGAGCCTGTGATTCTTTTCCCTTACTCTTCTTGTGACATTCATACTGAAAATAACCAAGGTTATAACAATAAAAACACTCGGCAAGAGTTTTGTTAAAACCTGGTCTCCCATGTCCTCGTCCTCTCCCTCGAATTGTGCCACCTCCACGATTTGTTCTCCCTATACTCTCGAATTGTGCCACCTCCACGATTTGTTCTCCCTATACTGCTATCAAGAATGATCTTCAATGCCTGTTCTTCAACAGTATACCTTTGTATACGATGTTCACAATGGTCATGTGTCCAAATCGTTGGATTCTTCATTGGAGAAAGCCACGTAATCCAACTTTGAAGTCATGGAGCGCAACATTTCTCAATAATGCTAATATCATTCATCTTTTCACCATGGAAATGCATTTTATGTTTTGTTCATATGAGTAATCAGAATCATCTGCTACAACAAAAATCTCAGATTCAACTATTTGCTAATATTTTATAGGGGGAAGAAAGTTCTCCGTTAACATGCTTCAATGATCATAGTTCAGTAGTCATCTTTAGCTGCAACTTGGAGACAAGTCTCTGATACCAAATGTTAAATTGAATGAAGATAAGTTTGGTGAAGAATGACTATGTTTACGGGCAGTACAATAAACAATACAATAAATTGAAGATAAATATATATCACGACAAATCAGACATATACGTGATCTGATATTTAGGAACTAAAACATAAAAGTAGTAACTGCCCCTTCTCTAGCCTACCAACCCTAACTACATCCTCCTCTCCTATTTATTCTTATTAATTTTCTCCTTCTTGTTCTCTCTATTATCAATAATAGTTGTTTTCTCATGGTTGCATGATTTTTTTTTTATGAGAATAATAGTTGTTTTATTTTTGGATTTGTTGTTTAGTTTGGTTGAAATATTTGAAAGTGTATATTTGATTTTTGAGATTTTTAGATTTATTACATCATACTATACTTTAAAATCCGGCCGTTTGTCGTTGCCCATAGCTTGCCCCAAAATGTACCATAGGGGATATGACTAGTTATCAACTTCTTCCTACCCGAATCGTTATATACTGCTAAGTCGTTGTTGTCGCCTTTGCTTGCATGCTTTATAACACCGTTTTCAATCTCTTACTAAATCTTGCTTTCGAACTCTCTTTCGAAAATCTCTCTGCCCTTGATTTCTAAAACATTCTTCTTCAATCGGGGCTAGAGGTTCGAGCATACATTGCTCGGTCATGCTCGGTCGTAGGCGATGCGCAAACGAATTGGTTTAACTCACTTGTTGCTTAGAAGTGAGTGCTGCACAATTGCAAGTCCGCTAACAAGAAAAGAGTGATTGTGATAAGTGGTATCAGAGTCAGGTTCGGCTCCTTAGAAAGTATTACGCAATTGGGTGTCTTATTCCGGTAACACTATTGATACGATCCACTTTGTAATTGTTATAAATAATTATATCCAAATTGTTCAACCCACTTTATAACTGTTATAAATAATTGTATCCGTTCATGTAGGTATATATGAGGTGGGTATCATATACAATGAGATACAATGAATTTGTGTAAGATAGAACCATGAAATATTTAATCTTCCTTTATAATCCACTAATTGTGTCATGACCCAAATTTAGAGGCTTCAAAACCCTAACCGTGACTAAAAAGATGAAGACAAAAGCAAATAAAAGAAAAGGTAAAATAAAATTAAAAAAAGGGATAAAAATCCCATCAAATTTAAATCAAATAAATCCAACATCAAAATTAAATACAAAGTAAAAATTAAAATAAGAAGTAATTGTTCAAATTTATTACAAACGGAAAAATAGTTTGGGATACAGTGACAAAACAAAATACAAAAGATTTAAATATGAAAACACAAGGGACAAACGCTCCGGAACAACCTTCTCTGTGATTGTACAGCTCTCGAACACTCATCCACCTCAATTGGCAGCCTAGGATGAGTATATCAATATACTCAGTAAGCAATCTACCTTTCATCACATCTTTAACCTAGTAAATATCTATGAGCTTTACTTTGGGCTCTAGGAAATTCAGGCCTAGTCTCTACTACTATCTTAGTATTTGGGGTGCCTCGAAGTTTCAAGCGATACTTTAGCTGCTCACGGACATACTCTGGGTATGGGGGTGGGGTTGGGGGGAGTAGTTCACCCATTTTTGACGTTGCAAGTTGACAAATCAGTGACAAATCTCATCTCTGAAGTAAACTACTTTTCTGGTATTAAACTTAGGTAGGTTGCTATGTCTAATTAGTACATAACTAGTCTCCTAGGTCGAGGTGCTACCTCGTAAAATTCTCTCTCTGATGGGGACAATGTGGTGTGTGCTAGCTTGCTCTCATCATCCATGGGAGATTAGCTTGCTATGTAATTACATTCAACAAAAGACTATTTTCTTGAATCTCTTGAATCATTCAAATAACTTTTTTCTATTTTGTACATAAAATTTAAATTACTTTTTGGTATCTAATATGTTAAGAAATATCATTATGTGAATGTGAAAATTTAGTCGAGAGTAAATTATATTAAAATAAAGTAGTCCAAAAAAAAAAAAAAATTGCACCTTAGGGCATTTATTTTTATTAAAACTATATAACAAAATTTATATATCAGGATTAAAGCAGCTATACATATTATAGTTTCAATATTAAAAAAAAAAATGCTATTAAGTTTTCTTAAATGAAACTCAATAAAAAAAAATAAAAAAAAAACTGTAAAAACAAATTAATTATAACAATCAAGAGAAATTTGTTTTAAGAATTAAAAAAGAAAAAAAGAAAAATCTAAAAACCCGGCAAACAAACAATAGGCTTACAAAAATGGAACAAAAAAACACCCCAAAAACAGCGGTTAACCACAGCAAGTCCAAAGGCCATCCGCCCCTCTCTCGGAGGACCAAACAAATCCACCATTATAAACACACACACACCCCATCAACAAACTCAATTCATCTCCATCAACACAAATTTCAGGCTTTCGTCCCAATTCAGTCAAAGAACAGACAAAAGATATGAAGCCCATTTCACTCGCTGTGGCTGTTTTGGTGGTGGTTTCCCTCTGTTCCTTCCAAGCACAGGGAGACAATGAACTGATCACCAAAGCCTGCAGCAGAACCGTTTACAACCACCTGTGCAAAGCAATCTTACAAGCAGCACCAAATAGCAATGACGCAGATCTCTATGGATTAACAAAAATCGCATTGAGCATTGCAGCACAGAATGTTAGCAACATATATCAAACCATAGACAAGCTTCAAAACGACTCATCCGTAGACACTTTCGTGGATGAATGCTTGACGGACTGCTTGGAGAATTATCAAGATGCTACTGACCAAATCGAAGATTCTGTCACTGCTTTGGAATTCAAAGCCTTTAACGATGTCAGGACATGGGTTGCTGCTGCCATGAGCGATGTAGCTACCTGCGACCTGGGCTTCAAAGACAAGCCTGGCTATCAATCTCCTGTTCACCAAATGAGTGCCGTTTTTGATCAGATCTGCAGCATTGTCTTGACCTTTAATCACTGTTTAATTGAAGGGAATGTTCACCTCACCAGCTAAACATGGTTTGGTTGTTGTTTGTTTGTTTGTTTGTTTGTTTCTGGCTCTTCAAACCTCAAAAATAATAAAGGTTTCAACGTAAATTATCATATCAATATCATCCTCCAAACAGAAAGAGAGGGTGAACGAACACATTCAATTTAGTAAATACCAATTCTTATGTTCAGATCTCTTCAGTTTTTATTCGTTTTCTTCTTTCTCACAAACTAATTCCACAAGAAAACTTGGAAATCATCAGGGATTAACAATCTACACAAACAATCGAATCCTAATCCTACAGATCGGACGATTTCTTTGAACTCTCAGTTTGTGTAAATGAAATTCATCCACGAAACGAACTAACAAGTTGAAGTCAGCCAAGGAATTCAGATCCCTTGAAACATTCATCTCCTCTTGTAAATCATCGATTTCCATTCGTTTTTCCTCTGAAAACCTAATTCATGAGAAAACTCAAGTGAAATGCGTCGATACTCTGATTGAAGCAAAGAAATCACCAGAGATTTAACCATTTGAAAAATGTTCAAATGATCGATTCGAAATCTCATGCAAGATAATCAAACACAAAATTCAAAACAGAAAAAAATAATAGGGGATGGAAGAAAATTAATGTAATCCAGTTACATTGGAGCGCATCTCCATTTCGCTGTCTGCGCAGATAAAATCCTGGAAACGATTCTAATGAGAAACAAATTTCCATGAAGATCTCTGCGCGAAATATGAACAAGTAAGCCCCAACTTAGAAGAAAACACGCTAATTTCTAAGATATTGAAATGGAACGCTTGAATTTGCAATGAAACGCTTGAATTTGCAATGAATTTCTGAAGAACTCACTGTAAATCTCAAATCCGCAAAAACCCTTGTTTATATAGAAGGGGCGGGGTATATGTTGCGAAATGACGATAATACCCATTAAATCTCAAGAAATAAAAAGAAATTATTTAACTATATATATATAAAGCTTTGCTAAAACGGTTGATTTTACATATTTTTCCATTAAATTATTTTCTAATTATTGTCAATTGTAATGAAAAGAGTTCTCCCCCAAATCATTATTGCTTGCTCTCTCCACTTTTTCTATCCCATTAACCAAATAATTAGGGGGTATAGCTAACCGGACAACCCAAACCAACCCAATCTGAATTATAGGCGTTGAAGTTGGGTTGTTTTTTCTGGATCCAAAGTGACTCGGTTCGATTTTCGATTCATAGGATAAAAAACTCGAGTTAGACTTGAAACCGAATAAAACTTATAAATAACATTGAGAACTATGTTGTATGTAAAAGTTGACAAATCATGAAAGATTGAAAGCATGAAACGGTAGTTCTTGGTGAGTTCATCACCGACTTTAATCTTCCCCAAACCTTCACAAATCAACCTTTGAAGGCTAGTCAAGATTGACGCACTTTGGAGCTCAAAATACTCGTGGGAACTTCTTGAGCCTGAATTGGCGTGACGTGGAAAGCTAAAACTCATATGAATGGGCGTGAATTTGTGTAAAATGTTGTTATTTTTTCAAATACTCAATTATCGGCTATTTTTATGAATTTATTATTAGTATTTTTTAATTAAATTATTTCCTTATAAACCCTTTTTAATATGATTAGAACTTTATTTAAATTTATGTTCGTCAGTAAATATCATGAATTTAATAAAACAATTGGCTTAGAAGAAAATTTTGTCTATGTAAGGTTTTTACTAGGCTATGTGATATTTAGAGTGGATTTCTTATGGTTTATCGTGATTCACACCATCATAGCAACTTTTGGATCGTATTTGCATGACTCTATAAGGGTCATGAAAGCAAGTATAAGGGTTGTTCCCATCTTTCTAAGCCTAATTGATTAAAACGAGCCACTTTTCTAAAATTCAAAACTGAGTTAGTCGGGATAGATTCTTCAGTAATTAAAAATAGTTAAAGATGGCTCCTCTAATATACAAGAAACTTGAGTATGTCACACGAGCAATAATAATGTCAGCTTTTGGCTAACCAAAATTCAAGCCGCAATTCCAATTAAGCCTAGTAGCCATTAGCCCAAAAGACGAAGACACTACCCATTTGCAGCATGAACCCTATATTATATGATATATGATGTATGACGTATAATGACGTGATTGAGTTATATGATGATGTCATATGATATTATGTGATCCTTTATGATATTGTATGATAAGGATGATGCATGACAACGTGACGATGTAAGATGTAAGATTGTGAAATTTCTTAATAGGACATTATTCCACGTTAAGATGAAATGCATATTTTAAATGTCATGCTACATTATGAACATTTTTCCTAAGACACAACCCTAATTAATGTTAATGATGACAATAGCAACTTTAGGCTAATAGAAATCTAAGGTCGTTACATAGTTTCTGTTGTGCCTAGTGGGATAGCCCGGTTAGTTTCTGTTTCCACTCAAAAGAGCGATGCAACAAATAGTTACTGTTCTAGCCTAAGAGGGAGCGTGAACAAGCAAGTTACTATATTTGCTCGAAAGAGCAATGCAACAGACTAATTACTAGTTTCGTGTGAAAAAATGATGCACTAGGAAGTTACAACCTAACCCCACTAGGGAAAATCCTCCGGAAGGAATTAAGTAAATAGCTAGGTGTGAAGTACGTATATTAGGTTAGGACAAAAAAGAGGCTCCACCATACTTAATAGACTTACCTTAGGCTCAACCTTGTGAGCATGTAGATTGAGGGGCATATTGACTTGGTGCAATTTGAACAGATATTACGGAGGACCTAGGCTTACGTAAAACATAGAATATTGAATATCCTAAACCCTTCCGTTATGAACCTCGAGATTATTGAATATTCTAGGCTTACGTAAAACATAGAGTATTGAATATCCTAAACCCTACCGTTAGTCTCGGAAGCAGTACGTGAACCATCAATATCTCTTGTTTCGTCCAACAAAAACGAGAAGGAAAAGTTGGCGCCCAAAGATGTGCAGTCCAATCTAATGTCTCTAAGACAAGATACTATGGTTGCAAAGATCAGAGAATTCTAGTTCCCAAATACAATAACTACATTATTATGTCTCACAACAAAGGTACTCTTAGCCGTTACCCACTCCCAACGGAATACAACACTTTCGGGACCTTAACATCCACCTTAGGGGGACCTTAACATCCACCTTAGGGAGCTTCTCGGACCCCTCGAATTATCAGGGCATCTAACCATAAGATCATTGAGGAAAATTACAATTTATAATGTTCACATATTACCTAATACAAGTTAAGAATTCGCATAAACTTCTCAAAGAACCGATAATCTACTTATTTATACTTATGTGTACACATAGTTATTGAAGAAATTCACTGACATCAAAAACTCCCCACAAGTTTTCGATAAGGGTGAGTCACTCTCGTGTATATCCTAAAAAACACAATAATTTATGCAAATACAAAGATTAATGTTACCATAATCTAATCTTAACTAATAACCAATCAATCATTCATTCCATCCCAACCAATCAAATAAAATCAATTCCTTTTCATAATTAAAATAGATCTCAATCCATATGCGTCAAAACATCAATCAAGGGAAGAAGAAAGCTCACAAGCTTGAATGTCTCTACAACTTATTCAACACAGCTATTGGTTGTACTGATTTTTTCATGCAGCAGTAGCTAATATTCCATTCTTCTATCATTTGCCTCTTTCCTTCATTTCAAGGATACCCAACCCATTAGTCAAAGCTAGAGTTCAAGAACTTCAGCAATTCATTTCGTTTGTTTTCCTCAGCTTTGTCTTCCTTTGATTTATCAAGTTTCAACAATATCTGCAAAAATAATAATAATAGTGAAAACTAAATTATCAATGGCAGCAACATTCTATGTACTCAAGGCAAAGATGTTTTAACAATAACATGTCGAAACATAGAAAGAAAAGGCGGATCTTTCACCTTTTTGCCAGAGACAGCACTCCGTCGAGTACCATCATCCTCCCGCGCTAAAAACTGCAAATACATGAAGTAACTGTAAATTTGACATTTGAGATGCCAAAAAAGAAGAGAACTGAAAATAAACAATGGTGTTAAGGTAACCTTAGACAGCTGCACAGGGCTGCTACTTCTCTCTTCCGGCTGTTTCTATAAATCGACTCCGATTGCCAGGACAAATCCGCACAACAAACCAGCAGGCAAATCAATCAACAGCCCGATCATCATGCCACAGACCCCAACTCCAAGTTCAAAGAATCAATCAGTAAATAGTCAAACAAACGTCTAACACTATATCCAATTCAGAAACAAATCATAGATGTAGTCTAAAGATTGCATGACTAAAAAAATTATGATAATTTGGCAAATAGATCATTACTTTCATCTTTTGTCTAACGATTGCGTGCTTGTCTTTCTTAGAGGCTCAACATTTTAGCCTCAATGCTTATGCTTTCTATAGATTGCAAGTGGTTAGGCCTAGCATACATGAGGCTTGCTCCGCTACTTTTTTTTATAATTTATTTTTCTGAATTAGGGCTTGCGCTCTATTTGAACACACTGATGCTTGGAGTCTTAACACCTCATGAAATGATTAGGAGAAAAATATTAATTTGATGCTTATTCTTTACACAATTGAGTTATTGTAATTCAGGTTGTTAATACTTTTACTACACAGGACAAAAAAACATTTTAGATTGAAACTTAAATATCTTCTTAAAATCTTCATCACAATATGTTCATTTATATTTTAATTTAAACTGAGGCTTATCATACTACCTCGAAAATTACATCTCACCTCTTCTGAATTAAAATCTAAAACATTGAATACATGTGTTAAAAGTTACATCTACTTTATCACTATATGTTCTGAAGTGCCTAGAGGTAGATACAGGTAAAAGACATGATGCCAGCGAGGTGATTTCCATAACATTTCTCAGTTCATTGAAAGTACAACATTAACAACAACAAAGGGAAAAATAGTACACAAACAGGCAAGTGGTCTACCTCTTTAGCTTTATGCTTACGCCTTTTATGGTGACGACTCTTACTTCGCTCCCTCTCCTTATACAAAGATGCACAAAAAAG